CTTTCCTTCATCCTTTGATTTTTCCATAGCTCCAAGAAATTTGTCCTTCTAGCCTCAATATCTTCTGGCAACAGTGGCATCTCCTCACTTTTTTTATCAATAGCGGCAATAGAATCAATGCTCTTTTGTATGCCCAAGTCAATCTCAGAGATCATATTCTTGCTCCACACTTTCAGCACCTTCTTAGTTTCCTTCAATTTCTCCTTCAGACGATACCCATTCCATCCATTTACTTCTGTAGACTTCCAGGTATCAGTGACTATGCCTTTAAACTGGGGTAGTTCCAGCCATGCATCAAAGAACCGAAATGGTTTTGGGCCCCAGTCTGTAATTTGGTTTTTGAGTATAATTGGGTAGTGATCAGAGAGTGAACGGTTTAAGCCCCATTGTTCGACATTCTCCCAATTCAAACACCATTCTTCTGAGAGCAGAAATCTATCTAGCCTACTCATCGAGGCTCCATTAGATTGATACCATGTGAATTTTCTGCCAATTAATGGTAAATCAACAAGGCCACACTCATTAATAAATTCGTCAAACTCTGGCATTTCTCTCCTTATACTCATCCCACCCTTCCTTTCCTGTTCATTTCTTACTGCATTGAAATCCCCCATTAGACACCAGTTCCCACCGATTTCAGAAATAAGGTTTTTGAGAGAAGCCCATAATGCTCTTTTACTAGGAAGGTCACAAGGGGAATAAATGTGGATGATATAAACAGGGGTTCTAGCTGCCCCCCAAAATCCAAAAACCCCAATAAAATTATCCCCTTCAATAATCCTATCTTTCTTCAATAATTCAGAATTCCAAACACATATCAAGCCTCCAGCCGTACCTTTTGAGGGTTGAGCAACCCATTCAAAGTCCTTCGATCCCCAAAGAGCTCTACAGAGTTGATGATCCACCACCTCTGTTTTTGATTCTTGTATTGATAAGAACTCCACCTTTTCCCGAACCACTAGTTCTCTAACCCCTTTTCTCTTCCCTTGACCACCCACACCTCTTATATTAATTGACAAAAAGATCATTTTAAAACACCACAATTGTTTCCCCTAGTATCGGCCTCACTAGCCTTTGATCTTCTATAATTTTCTCTGTCACGTTCCTCCAAGGTCTCGAGCCTTTGCATAATTTCTTCCTCATTTTCGCGATCCACAACCCCAATTTCTCTGGCAAACCCCCAGATCTTCATTTCCTTGTTGATTTTACCCTCCATCTGCAAGCACTTGTTTCTGTTTTCAATGCCACTATCTGCTATTGAGTCACCCGCTACCTGATTTTGTGAGCCTGGATAGAACAACGGCATCTTCTCCTCTAAATCTCGGTGTTTTTTTAGTCTACTCTGCATCTCCTCTGTCCTTGGCTGAACCACTATTTTGGAATTTTTATACACAGATGAACATGTCCTCGTTCTCTTCTTCTTATGTTTCTTAAGTTTCCTCTCTTTTCTACCCATCCAAGCTTTCAATTGCCCCGATTCACTTTCAAATCCCTGCCAAAAGGAATTTTCTTCACTGAGATCTTCTAACCGGCTCAAACTACCATTGCTTCTCTGATTCACGTCACCCACCTCATCCTCCTCGGACATCAACCTGCCCTTTCTTCTCCGATTCGCCTCACCTTCCACCTGCATCAATCTGCCCTTGCTTGTCCGATTCGCCTCATCCTCCTCAGGTCTCAAGCTCCCCCTGCTTCTCTGATTCGCCTCATCCTCCTCATTTATCAAGCTAACCCAATTTCTCCGAATCGCCTCATCCTCCACATGCACCAAGCTGCCCCTGCATGTCCGCTTCGCCTCATCTTCCTCGGGTATCAAGCTGCCCCTACTTCTCCTATTCACCTCATCCTCCTCGAGCTTATCTTTCTCTGTTTCACTTATCTCCACATCAACATCAGCTTCATATGATTTATTACCTTTATTGGGCCCCATATAGGAGGCCCAATCCTCATCATCTCTCAAACATGCTTGAGGATCCAGCCGGTAGCCCTTAACCCACTTTTCCTCTATGGACCGGTTCGGATAATTTGGCCCAATCACCTTACCATTTTCACAATTTGAAATATGTCCCTGATTTTGCATTAAATGCATGCTCAGACTATCAGGCACATAGCCTCCCTCCTCAGCCGTCTCTTCTAGCTTGCTGATAGGAAACTTTTGAGATTTCCCAATACTTGACTCAATATACTCATTAGCCTGAGTATTAGAGCCATCAGCACTCATCATTCCATCAATATCATCTTCAAATTCAAATTTCTTTCTTCTAGCCATTGTCTCCATCTTGCAACTCTCCATCCAACTCTCTTCTTGCCTTCTTCCATGGTCATGTCCCACGTCATCAGCCTTTGCCATGTCATCTTCAACAGCCCTACCAACTGCACTTCTCCCGTATTCCTTAGATCCTCCTCCGCCATGAATAGATTCAACAAAGACATCCTCACCATCGCTATTTAGGGACCATGATTCCGAGCTGTGATCATCTGAAGCACTCAGTTCTCTGAAAACATGATCAGACTTCATGGAAAAGATGCCGTTGGTTGCCTCCTCCTCCATTACTTTGACTGTATATGGCATACCATTTACTGTGATGTTCATGGATTTAGAGATGGACTCCATAATGGGCGTGGAGATTAGAAATCTTCCGATGTCAAATATGTTCTTCTTAATGGTGCTATCATCTAAGGAAATAACCTTTCCCCAAACAGCCCCAATTGTTGAGAAAAACTCAGGCCCCCAGGCATGAATCGGAACACCTTGGCATCGAATCCACACGAACCTTTCTTTATCAACCGTTGATGGTGACCAGGGTTTTACCTCCTCAAACCACTGCCCCAACCATTCCGGGGTTGTTTCAACTAAGTCCTTAATCTCGTCCTTGTCGCCCCCTTCCAATAAGACCAAACGTCCCCCCATAGGTCTTACTTGACACGAAAAATATCCTTCCATGAAGAACTTTTGCTGTAGAGTCGAGATAATGTTAACCGAATGTGCAACTCCAACATAACACCCTTCCATCCATAGGAGGTCCTCCTCTTTCACAGTAAACTCCAGGCCAGCACTTACACGTACATTATTTTTCATGATCCATACGTGCGTTTGTGATTTGGGCGTGTTAATCTTCTGTTTCTTATTTTGGCACTCTCTGGCACTTGAATCTTGCTGAAGATGTCTTCCTTCATTAACTGCCAACCCCTGGTTCCCTTTAACAACCTCTGCAAATGACCTCCCTGGATTGACAAGATTCATCACAGCTGGTTTTGTTGTTGCTCTGTTTCTCTCCTCCTCCTTCCTGAACCTTGGTCTGTTAACCCAGAGCTTGAACATCCCTACTCTGATTTGATCCAGCTTTCGTTCCAATTCCACCTCATTCTTAACTTCTAAGAAACGTACAAACCCAAATCTTCTCCTTGATTTCGATTTCCTTGGTGGACAATAAATAGCCAAGACTCTTCCATATTTCCGAAAGGTGAGCCACATACTTTCATGACTCCAGTCATCCAGAAAATTTGTGAAGAAGAATACTGTAGCTTGGTTATACACCCTTCTATCACACCCCCATATATCTTGCTTCTTCCTTAGTCCTCTGTTCAGTAGACCATCAATCCACCCATCTCTGTTCCATCTCTGGTTTCCGAAAGGCTTCCAGCTCCGTGCTGTCCGTCGTCCGCATGCCCCGTTGCTGATCGCACTCACTCTCTCTCTACCTCTCATCTCTCGCGTAGATTCTGGTTTACACCTTTTGCATGTTTATTTTTCCACATCATTATTTTTTTTAAAAGGTGCAATTTTTTGACAATTTAACATGCCAACTAGCACTTCTGTCGATGAAAGGACTAGATTGGTATTAAAAATTAAAGTTGAAGGACACTTTTGATACGTTTTGAAGTTCAAGGGTAGATTTGTTTAAAAATAAAAGTTGAGGGATCAAATTGGGTATTTAACCTTCTTTCTCTTCTGTCCCGGTCTCCTTCCTCCATCTCACGCCTCCTCTGGTCCAGTGACCGCCATGGTTGAACCTACAATTTCTTTGAGCAAAGCGAGAAACTGCAATTATGATTATGCAACTCCTGTGCTCACCCATGACATTGTTCTGGAAGCTTGGCTTCTATTGTTCAGACGACAAGCCCTTTACCGTCCGGAGGCGGAGCGTCCACCATGTAATCAATTCCCAGAGAGAAGTAAAGTACCACTATACATTCGGCCGCTTTCCTAAAATGGGCTAGTGATTTACACTATTATTATTTACCTTTTAAGCTTAGAGACGCTGATGCACGAAGCAGCTGACAGTGCAAACATAGCAACCCATTTCCATAGTCATTGCAGCTATTATTATGGAAGCCATTTTCCTCTGTGAAGTAGCCCCGCACCATGGGAGGTACTAAAATATCTCTAACTTTTTCCCTGGTGTTGATTTTACATTCTCTTCATCATGATCCATAATTGGTGTACTTGTTTGTTTCGGACATGCTGCTTAAGACACTGTTCAAAATTCACAGTTCCTGAACAAAACACTAAAAAAATTATTGTTATCAAAGTATATCTTTATTTGATTGATTCCCTTGACTACGGTGATATAGGTTCGTTTTCTTCTTCATTAAAAAAGATGGTTGTTAAAAAATGGTCAAGTTTTGGGATTTAAAGGTGTAGGGTATAGATCAGCAACAAGTAGTAACTTGTTGAGGTTTGTTTGCGGTATATCTTTCAAAAGCAGAAGTGAGGTGGCAAAATGAGAGGGCGGGTGTCATTCAACAAGTGTTAAAGCAACTGCAGCTAGCACTGCTCATGGAGGAGTGCTAGGAGCACTCGCTCCAGCACTCTCCATTTCAACACCCTCTCCCTTGTTTTGCCATCACTCATACATTTCTATCTTTGATGGACAACTTGTTTACACCCTCAGACCTCAACCACATCATTAGTCACTATTTTTATTTATTTAAAAATTAAATTTTGAGCATATATTTCTTTTTTCCCTGGCGTCGATCTCCATCCCCTACCACCATCACTCTCTTCCCCATCCAGTCTTGATCTTACTCCCCTGATAATTGGAAGGCCAATCCTAGACTTTAATCCAACACCATCCTTTCTATTTTACCTTTCCTACTTTCCTCTCTTTAACAAACACTCTCTCTCCCACAAGATTTTCTGTCTTTTAATCCATATCTTCATATCAAGCTTGGATTTTGCAATAGAGTGCTTTTTTTTTTTTTTCTTTTGGGTTGGTGAGAATCGGTAGACGAGAAAAATGAGAAGTAATATTATGAAATTTTCCTAATTTTCATGGGAGTAATCATAAAAAAGGAGAGGAATTGAACAGTGTTGCAATTTGTATTGATGGTTTGCAGAAATATGAAGGACAGACGAAGAAAGTTTTTGGGCTGTGGTTAAAAGCGAAAGGTGGATGACAGCCGGGTGGGTGAGTTTGAAACAGATCCAGCGAATTCTATTCTTCTTATTCCTCTGCAAAGAAATATTTTCACGATACACTTATGCTACACATTCCTCTACAAGTTTAATTTCACTGCAAATTTGTCTTCATAATCTTCATAGCATAGAAGGAACCCATCCCCTTCTACCAATGTTGATAACGGTGGCATGAAACATCCCGTGCCCAGACAGACAAGCCTGGCTTTCTCTCAAATATGACCACAAAAGGAGCAAAAATACATGTAAATCTGGGTTCCTTGCTCAACCAAGCGAGATTTTACAGCCAGATCTAGTGTAGGAGGACGAGGAGAGAAAGTCCGGTACAAACAGAGGATAGAGAATGCCTGGTTTTAGTAGAAGAAAAGAGGAGAAGAGGAGTTCTAGTTTAAGAAAACGAGTTTAAACAAAAAAGGTAAAAATGAAATTGGAGAAAAAAAATTGCAGAAAAAAAATCGCAAGGAAGGAGGAAGGAGGAAGGAGGAAGGAAATGATTACGAGGACATTGATGAAGGGAGAATGCTGAAGCGAGTCCTCCTAGCACTCCTCTTACCTAAGTAGGGCTTTCTCTCCTTGACCTCTCTTTTTCTCATTTTGTTTTTACGGGCAACAGCAAGATCTGTGCTTAACTCTTCTCCCTGGTACTTCCGCCACTGCTGCAAGGCATATGCAGAATGATAGCCGAAGCGGACAGAATATCGAAACACCATATCCCCCATTCTGAGCATGATTCTGCCAAGTGTTTGTAGGCAATTAATGAGCAGGGTTTTCAAGGACAATTTTTTCTGAAGATCCTTTATGATTTTCTCGATCAACTCAGCTTTATCCCTGGGTGTTCAGAGAAAAATAAAAATAAAAAATTTGGTAAATGCAACAAAGATAGACATGAGATTAGTGTTATCTGATTTTTAAAGAATTAGATAAAACCAAATTTTAAAATGTCATTATTTTAATAAAATATTTTAAATAAAAACACAACTATAAAATAAGTTTATGTTGTGAAATATTAGGTGTTTACACTTTAAAATTTTAAATCTTTATAACTTGAATTACAAATATTTTAAAGTAGTTAAATTTAATTTACCTTACTCTTATGTGAATTTAGGAACTACAAAATGAATTTATTCAAACAATAATTGTTAAGTGATAAAGAGAGAAGATCATTAGATTACCCATTAACATCTCCCAGATTAAACCCGGCCAGATTGGTTATATGATAAAGTGCATTCTTCCGCTTCTCCATTTCCTCCACCGAAGCCTCATGGAGACGTGCAAACGCATCCCCAAATCGTCCGTTCTGATGGCGGACATTTGAGGGACGCACATGGAAGAAAATGGGCAGAACAATCTGCCCTAACCTTTCCCTGCAATCAAGGATATTCACAAGCTCATCTAGGCACCATCCGGAGCCAGCATAGTTTTCTGACAACAGAACAAGGGCAATCCTAGACTGTTGGATTGCTTTCGGTAGCTCAGTGGCAATGTCGCATCCCCTTTGAATATCGTTTTCATCTACGAAGACCCTAAATCCACCCTTTTTTAAAGCACAACGGAGATGAGTCAGAAAATTATGGCGAACATCTTTACTTCTGTAACTAATAAAGACATCGTATTTCCGACGATGGACTGATATGAAATAGAAAGGCAGCAGCAGCCATAAAGAATAATAGATGAAGTACTGAAGCATATCTATTTCATTCACTTCCCCCATTCTCCCATTCACTTAATCGCAGCCTCAAACCATCTATGAATTCAAAGAAAGAAAGGTGGTTTGAGAAACTGAATTAAAAAATATGAGGATTCTCCACAGCTTAAATAGAATTTCGAAAATGATTGAGGGATAATTTTATGTATAATATTTTATATAATTTTATATGTTATTTA